TTACCAGTTAGAGATCAGAGCGATACTATGAACCTTAACCAGTTTTACGGGTTACGAAGAGGGACTGAACAGCTGAGGGAGCTCCAGATTGCTAAAGAAAGGTGGGTAAGATGACCGGGAAGGGAATAATGAGAATTCTAGTCCACAGCAGAAAATTATGATGCCCTACCGAGAAATGAGCTGAGCTTAGTGAATTTCCGAGGGAGCGAGTGACAAGAACCAGTAGTTATGTGAGTCAGAGGATATTCATGAAAAACTAAGGATGGATAGGAATTTTCTTTTCTGCTTCGGCATCAGAAAACTCGTCCGTGTCATCTTCTACTCGAGTTGATTGATGTATCCAATGATAAGTACCGTTTTAGGTGAACAATGTTTCCGATTCAGCCTTGAAATCTCGAAAAGGCGGCAAAACACATTCGTTGGACGAATACGAAGATTACGAAGTCAGTTTCCTTCGTTCTATTCCAGCACCTTACGCTTTATCATGGTGCCAAGCTTTTAGTTGATGGATCGAGGTCGACTTCCGGACGAAGAGGACGCGGATTTGTTCCGAGTTCCGGATACCGCAGGTGGAGCCGGTTTTGTACCATCCGGTTCTACTGACAGATGGCTCGATGGCACAAAGGTCTGTCTAACCACAATTCTGACTATGTTCCAATCTCTACATTGAGTGCCATTGTTTCAGTACCGAGTTGGGGACTGCCTCCCATACCGTGGTGAAGCATGCCGACAATTTTTAAGTGGGCGAAGTGTTATGATGACAAGTGAGAGTCGAGAAGATATGTATGACATTGGTGAGTCATCTTGCGTTAGTATTCTATGAATTCCATGGATTTTCTAGATTACATCTATCAAATGGCTATTTTCGACGGGTTGGGGGTGTCCCAGACATTAAACTGTTTTGATAAGCCGCTTTGGTGATCAGAATTTTTCTAGAGTTTAATGTTTTTAGATAGGAATCTCCGAGCTGCTATGATGTTCATCAACGGTGCCCCGACGATCTCACAACAATGCCGACAGATCTCTACAAATGTCGCCTGCTTTCATATGTATAAAGTATGCGATCCTAGGTCTCCAGCAGAAAGTCGAAGGGTGCTAACCGTCTGTAAAAAGGACTGTGACGAGATTCAGGTGAGCTAAAGGCATTGCTACTTAATTTGAACCAATCCAAGTTTTGAATTTTTGAAAATTCAAATTGATTTCACGAGTTTGTACTTTCAAAAAAAGTGACAAAATTCCGTCACAT